ATCGAAATTTTAAATCTAGATCTTGAGGCCATCTGTGACTGGTGCAGAAATTATGGAATTGCTGTCAATCCTGTTAAATGTCAAGCGATAATTCTCGGTAGTCCTCGCCGTATAGCTAAATTAGATTTTAATTCACTGAAGCCTATCGTTTACAATAGCACAATTATTCCTCTTAGTCAAGTAGTTAAAGACCTTGGGTTAATGATTGATGCTAATTTAAGTTGGCGTTCTCAGCTGGCTGAAATAAGCCGGAGAGTGACAATCACCCTGCGTGGCCTTTATCGTTTCAAGAATTTCCTTCCAACCGAGACTAAGGCTATGTTGGTGCGAGTGCTTGTTTTACCACTCATTGATTATGCTGATGTGTGTTACTCTGATGTGAGTCAACTACTTCTGTGCAAATTGGATCGTTTATTAAATAATTGCATCCGTTTTATTTTTGGCCTTCGTAAATACGATCATGTATCCATATATCGTTCTAAGCTTAAATGGCTCCCTATCCATCAGCGTAGATGTATCAAAATTCTTCGCACGCTTTTTTCAATCCTATATGATCCATGCACTCCCCAATACCTGAAATGCAAGTTTCAGTATTTGGGTTCTTCTCACGATCGTAACCTGCGATCCTCCGAGGGAACTACATTATGTGTTTTTCCTCGCCGTACCAAATTTATGTCTCAGTCTTTCGCCGCTGAGGCCATAAGGCTATGGAATAAATTACCCCCTCATATCAGAAAACCGACTTCTGTTGCCACATTTAAGAGGATGGTGACTGATCACTACCTTTCTTCTTCCAGCAAGTAACTTTCATATTTGTTTCTGCTTATATGTGACTTGACATCTTAAATTATTTAATTTGTTTTAGTTATGTTCGTATGTAAGTATACTTAAAATGTATGTATTATGTACTATTTAAACATTATGTATGAAATGTATCATATATTACTTAGGTTAATTGTAGTTGTGTATATTTATTTTTGTATTTACACTTATGGTATGTCTATTTATATATTTACATTTACGTATAAATTATCCACATATTTTATGGCACCTGCTAAAGTTCTCTGCTTAGCCCATGGTTGACTAGTAGAGAATGCCTAAAGGCATTAAGTCCGCCAATTGTACATTTTAAGTGCAATAAAGTTTTTTTTTAAATTAAAATTAAAAATCCAGTTCGAGGCTGTTATGAAGGCAAACGGCTGGAATAAAAGTCAGGCCATGACTGCTCTCACAGTAGGCCTGCACGACCAGGCCTTAACAGTTCTGGAAGCTCTCGGTGAGGAAGTGACTTATGAGCAACTCCTTGAGGCATTGGAGGCGAGATATGGCGACGCTCACCTGGAACACGTCTTTCGTGCGCAGCTTAAAGATCGTGTGCAGCGCATCAACGAAAACCTGCAGCAGTGGGCTCTAGAAGTGGAGAAGCTGGTGCGAAAAACATACCGGTCTGTACCTGCGCTCATTGAAGGGAACCTGGTGCAGACATTCATCGACGGCATCCGCGACCTGGAAGTCAGAGCTGCTGTGAGGCTCGGGCACCACGAGACGCTTAAGGACGCCTTGGCCCATGCACTGGAAGTGGAAGCCGTGCGGCAGGATCATCGTTCCCATCGCGTCAGGGAGGTTGCAGCAGCTACAGTTCGCGACCGCAACAAAGGATACAGCCCAAGGTGTTATGGCTGTGGGGAAAAGGGCCATCTTCGATCCAGCTGCCCCAAACTAACCGTGGAAAGGAGAGTTGATCGATCTCGAGAGGGTAGTACAGCTAACGGCACTGCCTGGCGGCGACAGGATCATCGTTCACCTCACGCTAGGGAGGGTACAGCAGTTACGGTTCGCGACCACAATAAAAGATACAGCCCTAGGTGCTATGGCTGTGGGGAAAGGGGCCATCTTCGGTCCAGCTGCCCTAAGCACACCCTAGGAAGGGAAGGTGAACGGTCTCAGAAAGGAAGTGCGGCTAACAACACCGCCCAGCAGCAGCAGGAATACGACTTTACTATCAGACACTGCAGCGGGAAATCTCACGGCAACGCAGATGCATTGACAAGAAGACCTTGTCCTGAAGATTGCAACCATTGTAGTAGGCAAGAGAGTAAGGAAGTGGTATCCGTGAGGATGCTCAGGACAGACCACCTCAGCAACGGGTGGAAGGACAGCCTACGACATGCACAGCAGGAAGATCCGGACATCAAGCCGATTCTGAGATGGATGAAGGCCCGTGCTACCAAGCCTAAGTGGAGGGACGTCTCAGCGATGAGTTCAACCACGAAAAGCTATTGGGCCCAATGGGACAGCTTGCTGATTCAGGATGGAGTCCTGTGCCGTAAATGGGACAATGGTCGAAGGGACAGCTGTCGTTTGCAAATGGTTGTCCCTAAAGCTAAAGTGCCGAATGTTCTGCAGCTGTGCCATAATGGTCGTTCAAGAGTCCATCTGGGAGTTAAACGAACTCTACTGAAGGTCCGAGAACAGTTTTACTGGGTCCATTATCGTGACGATGTCGAGGATTGGTGTCGTACATGTACAAGTTGTGCGGCCGTGCGGGGACCTCAGACACGTAGTAGAGGAGCACCGAAATTGTACAATGTTGGTGCACCACGGGATAGAACAGCCCTTGACATTGCGGAGCCGTTACAGAAAGGCGCAAGAGGGACTCCTAAGATCGTCCATGTGGATCGCTTGGCGCGTTATTATGGGGCCGATAATGCTCGGGACGAGCATGTCTTAGGAGGGGGCAGTGTTACGCGCTCAAGTCGACGATACACTAGCGCCATCTAGTGTCAGGAACGAGAGCGAGGGGAGCATTGAGAAAATGACATCACAAATCACTCGACCGACAGCGCCACCCGAAGAACTAAGTTTCTGGAAAATCTACACTCGAATACTCGTTGCCTGGCGAGCATTTACTTGAATGTTCGGGACGGTTCTTTGCTAATTATATAAATAATGCAATAATGCAAGATGCGATCGGGGCAGTGTTGAACTCGGCGACACAAGCGAAGCTTCGGAGCGGAATTAAGTGAATTAGTGTGTTTAATTATTAGTGTTTTTAGTTTTAATTTGTGTAAAGTAAATTAAAGTGTTAATTTAGGTAATTTTATCGGCAATTTTTATTGTCACGAACCTCAAGCTCGTAACAGTAACTATTTGCTTTATATACATAAACAGTAATTATTGCTTTTTATCATACCATATAAAGGCACTCGAAAATTCTTCCACTTCTCTAAATGATAATTTTATGATTATCGAAAATATCGAAAAAAAATTTTGAATCAGAAGGTCCCGTTGCTGAAGTAACGAGGCAAAAATTACTCTACGTATTGAAAAAAAAACAAAGGATTTCATATACTAAAGAAAATCAACAGCATGCTGTGTGGAACATTAGAAGGCACCATAGATGTGCCCTACTCACTTGCAGAATTATGCAAATTTAAATATGCTCCAATCACATCCTATGATGTTGAAAAATCATTCAGCCAGATTAAAGCATTATTTCGTCCAAACAGAAAGAGTTTTAATTTTAAAAATTTAAGGAAACACGTAATTATATACCGTAGTTCAAATAATATGAAACGTAAGCTAAGTAAAATTGTATTTTTTTGGTTTTTCTTAATAGGAAATCGTTTTAATGTACAATGTCGTTATCTTTTATTACACATATTTTTTCCATATTTTAGGATTTAAGTCCATATTATATGTACATATGTATTTTGATATTATATATATACATATTAATACGGGCCCAAAAAAATAAGTAAATTATCAGTAATTTACTTATTTTTTTATATCGAAAATTTTGCGCTGAATTAATTAATATTGGTAGTTAATCGATTTATATTGGTATAGAAAGAAGATTAGCTATCAATGTTAATTCAGCGCTGAATTATAAGGCCTCAAGAAATAAAACATTTAATATTTTTATCTTTTATTTTTAAAATACTTTTTACAATAAGAGTAAGCCATTAATTGTACACTATCATTGTTATCGTCAATGCTCCTTTTGCCAAAAATAATTTTATTTACATCTTTACAATAGTTGTATATGAAAAAATTAATAATTTGTTCAATCAAAAATTCTCTTAATTTTACTTTATGAAGAGGACAATCAAGGTAATTTAAATTTATAATGCATGATGCTATAACCTTTGTATATTCTTTCAGTAAAGGTTTTTCTATATATTTTTTTAATACGTAATTACATACATCCTGCATTTCAGATAATGTCCTTAGTAATAAATCACTTGGGCTGTGAAGCCAATTTCGACCTGCATATTCTCTGTTTTCAGTAACATTACACATGTTGTTACGACATGCCTTACATCCCATCCAAATCTTTTGTTTGGATTTTTTTATAAAATATCCACTTACATATTCCAGTGGCGCCATTATTCTAGGATCGCTTTTAGACTCCAATAGTATTAATTGAATTTCTAATATATCATTAATATCAACTTCACAGGTCATATTGACTTCACTGTCCTTATTTATTATAAGAGAATATAGTGATTACCCATTATCATTTTCACAATTAAACCCCGAGGCATGAACACCTGTTAAATTGTTGACGAGGAGTGTAGCAAATGCAGACTCAAACTGTTCTGTTGTTGGATTATTGTTGCGGCACCCATGACTACGAATGGCCCCAAAGAAATTTTCCAAAGGGTCTTGGTTAAGGTGCCGCATCCAAACAGAAGTTATTTTGTAATCTTTCTCCAACTTTGCAACAATGTCTTCCATGCCGTTAAGGGTAGTTATCCAACTCTGTACTGTTGGTACAAATTCTGTTTTTAAGCTCCTTGGATTTAAAAATTGTAATGTCTGAAGTATTTTTTTACCTTCCCTCCATACTTTTTTATGAATTGACGTGGGGGTTACTGGACCAAGTAAAGGTTTAATGTATTTATTTTTAGAAAAACTGCCATTTACAGAATCAAATAAGTTATCCATAAAAAAAAAGAAAATCTGCAGTCTCCTTACATTCCTCAGGAAGGATGCCTTTATCTGAAAGTAAATAAAAATATTTATTGTTGTATAAATAAATATGCCTTGAGTTGTAAAAGTTACAGTTGTATTAATAAATGCAATGAAATTATCTCACATATTCAATTTGACATTCTAAGGTCTTTGAAATGCATAAGTTTCTATATTTTATATATACAGGTACAGTTTTATTAAAGTGCAATATATTTATAAACAATGTGCTAGGTGGTGAAGGGAATCATTGTAAAAAAGCTGGCTTGTTTCAAAAATTAAAATGAATGAAATTGTAGAATAAAAAAAAAACTATATTTGCTAGCTTTTTGGAGACGTGAAGTTATATAAATTAGGAGACCTCTGCCCAAAAGTAGGATGTATATTGTTGACGCGACTTCTAACGCCGCCTAGCGACGCACCGGAACACCAAACTTTTCGCTACGAATCAGAGCTCGTCATTGTTGGCAACCAATCACAGCACGTCGTGCAATTAGTTATAAGATCTGTCTGTTTAAATTTTGATTATTACCTGATACACACTGTTAGCAATAAGACGACTTAAATATAACCAACAAACGTTCAATAAATCAATTCATTGAAGAGCACCTGCCTCCCGTTCCTGTACATAAAGTGGTCCTATCGAGCCGAATAAGGAGTTCAAGCTTGAAATCCCCGAAGATTTGTCGCATCAAAATACGAAGAGGAGATTCACGTATCGAGCGAAGAGCTGCAACGTTAAGGCATCGACAGATAGGAGTGGCAGGTTTGAACTTCCCGTCCGTTTCTCCATCTCATCCTTCGATAGGTGTTGATTTCGTGCTGATATTCCATTTCCAGTGCTCAAGTTAGTGGCGGTACCTACCTGCACAACGGCACCCACCTTGGTTCGCACGCATCTACAAATTGGCAACTGCAAGTACTCTTGATTTCCTTAATTCCCAAAATGAGTGAGCCCAAATTGCCAGATTTAATTAAGAAAAGAGGAGTTTTAAAAGGTCGATTAACTCTGTTTGAAAATTATGTTAAAAAGTTCACTTTACCCTTGACTGAACAACAGTCATTAGAATTAAATTTACGTGTCGAGAGTACTTCGAGTTTGATAGAGACGTATAGTGAAATACAGACTAAAATTGAAGAAGAGGTAGCGGAAGATCTCGATCTTGTAGAACAGCTGGAAGAGAGAGATCGTTTCGAAAATCAATTTTATTGTGCTGTAGCTTCTGCAAAACTTTTATTGAGAAAGGAAGTAGCTGACAAGTCTAGTGTTTCAACATGTAAGCTGATAGGCATAAAGTTACCCGATATTAAAATACCTTCCTTTGACGGTTCATACGATTGCTGGCTAGAGTTTAAAAATTCTTACCTTAGTATGATTCATGATCGCGATGATTTAGGTCCTGTTCAAAAATTTCATTATTTAAAATCGTCATTGTCCGGTACCGCGGCACACGTCATAGGTGCATTAGAATTTACGGCTCACAACTACTATCACGCATGGGAGCTATTAGAGAATAGATTTAATAATCCGCGACTATTGGTTCATAATCATGTGAAGGCATTATTTAAAATTCCATCGTTAAATAAAGAGTCCGCTTCCCAGATTAGGAACTTAATAGATATTATTTTGAGAAATTTGCATGCCCTTAAAACGTTAGGTGAACCAACAGATTCATGGGACTCTTTAATCATTTACATGGTCGTTTCCAAATTAGATCAGGCCATTGAACGCGAATGGGAAGATTTTCAAGGTACAGCTAGTTCGTTAATTGAATCGAGGTCAGCTTTGAAACTGGATGACTTACTTAAATTTCTTAAGGACCGCGCCGACGTTTTAGAAATGATAAAAGTCAACCATAACAAATCCCAAGAGAACAAAGGCGGCGAACAAACGCGCTCTAAGAAACAATATACACATACTCATGTTGCTACGAACGTTACTAACAATAACAATAAGGGTAATACGAAACTAAAACAAAGCCGCGTGTGTGTGATGTGTCATGGTAATCACGCGATTTATTCCTGTTCAAGGTTTCTTAATTCGTCTATCCAAGAAAGGAATAAGATAGTTAAAACGCATCAGCTGTGCATCAATTGTTTACGCGCAACCCACCCACTTGACGAATGCAAGTTTGGGCCATGTAGGTTGTGTGATAAAAGGCACAACAGTTTGCTTCACATTGATGGGCAGGTAGACGGCGCATCACAGGTGAGCGGGTCGAGTGCATCAGCACAGCCGGTCACCGCTAACGTCTCCACTGTCTCGTCATCATTACACGTTACGGCTAACCATTCAGAATCGCAAAACAGTAATCAGGAATATTCGTTATTACCCAACGTTTTGCTGTCCACAGCGTTAGTGGACATAGCAGATTATAATAACAAATATCACACTGTACGCATTCTGCTTGATAATGGTAGTCAACATTGTTTCATAAAGAAATCGTTATGTGAAACATTAAATGTACCGTTAATACAGTCCACTTATCACGTTGCTGGGGTAGGTCAAATAATTTCGCAGTCCACCCACATTTGTAAAATAAAATTACGTTCAAGGTTAAATTCGTTTTGTATGAACATTGATTGTTTAGTGTTGCCGTGCATTACAAATCAATTACCCACATTTAGTGTCGATGTAAATAATATGAATTTACCTGATAATATTCAACTTGCGGATCCGAACTTTCACTCACCGTCAGACATCGATATACTGATAGGCGCGGATAAGTTCTGGGAATTATTGTGTGATGGCAAAATTAAGTTGAATAAAGGACCTTATTTACAAAATACAAAATTGGGTTGGATAATGTCGGGACCTTTACGTAATAACCCACTTCCCGTTAAGAGTGTGCAATGTAATTTCTCCCAAACAATTGACACACAGTTGAAATTGTTTTGGGAACTCGAAGAGATAAACAATAACGTTAATAAAAACATCCTTAGTGCTGACGAACGTGCGTGCGAAGACATTTTTGTCAAAACAACAAAACGTATGGAAGATGGTAGGTTTTCCGTACGCATTCCTTTAAAGGAATCAGCTGATGTGCTCGGAGACAGTTACACAACGGCTGAAAAACGTTTGTTGTCGTTACAACGAAAATTCGCTCGTTCGCCACAATTTCGGGAAAAATACGTAGATTTTATGGGGGAATATGAAAGGCTCGGTCATATGAGTTGCGTTGAAAGTTATGAGTCGCCCCACTATTTTTTGCCGCATCACGGCGTTATTAACGAAAATAGCAGTACGACTAAACTGCGCACTGTTTTCGATGCAAGCGCAGCGACGTCGTCCGGTAAGTCGTTGAACGATATTCAACATATTGGTCCACCACTTCAGAATGACATTTTTAGCATTTTATTACGCTTTAGGCAATATAAATACGTGGGTTGTGCGGACGTTGAGAAAATGTTTCGGAATTTTCTTGTGCAACCAGATCAACGAGATTTACAATTGATATTATGGCGTAAACTTCCGTCGGACCCAATACGTGTATATCGCCTAAACACCGTGACGTATGGCACTGCGTCTGCGCCATACCTTAGTATGAGATGTTTACGTCAGCTTGCGCTGGAATGTAAGGATCAGCAGGTTGCGAGAGTAATCCGAGAGGATTTTTTCGTTGATGACGTCATCCTAGGTGACAATAATTTAAATAGCTTACTCGATACCTGTGAGAAGTTACGAAATACTTTAAACTCGGCTTGTTTACCGTTGCGTAAGTGGTTGTTTAACGTTGATATCAGTGACCACGACATATCTAAAGACTTGTCATTAGGAGAACATTCCCAAACTAAGACTTTAGGAGTGGGTTGGTATAATAAAAGTGATGAACTTCATTTTACCACACGAGTAGTTAGACCGAATTTACTAAATAAACGTACAATGTTGTTGATAATCGCACAAATATACGATCCTCTAGGAATTTTAACACCGGCTGTCGTAGTAGCTAAAATATTGATGCAAAAAGTGTGGTTGTGCAAGATAAATTGGGATGATCCCGTTCCCAGTGATGTTGCTTTATCCTGGGAAAAATTTATTGACACACTTCAATATTTGCATAACCTACGTATTCCGCGTCATGTTATGAGCGCACACACACAGTTTATAGAATTACACGTATTCACGGACGCGTCGCAGAGTGCGTATGGTGCATGCGCATATGTTCGCACTTACTCTGATGACTCATCGGTGACTGTTAGATTATTGTGTGCAAAGAGTAAAGTTGCACCAATTAAACCAGTCAGCATACCCCGATTAGAACTGTGCGGGGCTTTAATAGGCGCACGATTATATAGGAAAATTATCGAGTCATTGCGTGTTAATTTCCACAAAATTTACTTTTGGACAGACTCAACTATTGTCCTTGGATGGCTACGTATGTCACCACATTCGTTAAAAACATTCGTTCAAAATAGAATAGTGGAGATTAATGAAATAACAAGTAATGCGTTATGGTTACATGTAGGAACCAAAAATAACCCAGCGGATCTGGTCTCGCGGGGTCTTAGTCTTGATGTACTCATTGACAGTAATCTGTGGTGGAGCGGACCTGAGTTCTTAAAAAATTCTGAGTCGGCATGGTCACAGCAATCTTCGACTACACACTCCGACTTACCAGAACTAAAATCACAAACGACAACGGTTATGGTTTGTGATGTAACAAAGAATAAAATTATTAATTTTGAAAGGTTTCGTTCTTATCAGCGTATCGTGCGCGCCGGCGCTTACCTGTTGCGATACATACATAACTTACGCACACCAAAGAAAGATCGTACACAGGGGCCGTTATCAGTAGATGAATTGAATGACTCCTTACAGTCGTTAGCGTTAGATGGAATATGATAAGTTAAAACATAACTTACCTTTAAAAACTTCAGGTTCGATTTCTAGGCTTAATATATTTCTAGATGAAAGGGATATAATTAGAGTAGGTGGCCGTCTTAGTAACTCGCCTGACTTTAATTACGACAAGAAGCACCCGATACTTTTATCAAGTAAACACAACTTCACACAATTGTTGTTTCAACATCAACACAAAGAGCTTTTTTATGCTGGTCCTCAGCTGCTATTGGCCACCGTGCGTGAGAATTGGTGGCCGTTAAGGGGTAGAAACCTAGCTAGAAAGGTTGTCCACCAATGTGTTCGCTGCACTCGAATGAAAGGTAAAACCCTAACACCAATCATGGGCAACCTTCCGTCTGAACGAATAGAACCTGGTTTCCCATTCATTCGATGTGGAGTGCATTATGCGGGTCCATAAACGTACTGAATCGCAAGGGAAGGGGAGCTAAATTGGAAAAGGGCTATATTTGCATATCCGTTTGTTTTGTTACCCGGGCCATTCATCTAGAACTTGTCAGTACGTTAGCTGCTCAAGAATTTATATTAGCACTTAAAAGATTTATCTCACGACGAGGTAAACCAGCTCAAATTTTCTCAGATAACGGTAGAACTTTCATTGGAGCCATGAAAGAGATTAACAAAATGTTAGAGCGAAATTCAAAGCAAATAATTGATAGATTATCAACTGACAATATTGAATTTAAATTTATTCCCCCTTATGCTCCTCATTTTGGGGGATTGTGGGAAGCAGGAGTAAAATCATGTAAGTTCCACCTTAAGCGTGTCGTGGGTACCGCTAACTTGACATACGAGGAGTTCAGCACTGTGTTGGCACAGATCGAAGCAGTCCTAAACTCCCGTCCTATAAGTCCTATGTCCTCAGATCCACATGATCTTCGTCCACTAAGCCCAGCTAATTTCCTCATCGGCCGACCACTCACTGCACCATCCTGCAGAGACCTCACCGAAGCACGGACTCACAGCTTGAAACGGTTTCAAAGAGTGGAACAAATAAAACAGCACTTCTGGAAACGCTGGTCACAAGAGTATGTTGCTGAACTTCAGACAAGAACGAAGTGGAAGGCGAACAGTCAAGACATAGCATTAAACACGCTTGTCGTTATTAAGGAGGACAATTTACCACCCCTTAAATGGCGTATGGGCAGAGTTACCCATATTTTCCCCGGAAAAGACGGCGTGTCGCGTGTCGCCACCATCCAAACTGCTACGGGTCCTGTACATCGAGCGTTCTCGAAAATCTGCCCTCTGCCTGTATCATCAGCAGAGGACGACAACATGAATGCAGCCTGCGGTATTTCCAATCAAACGTAGATACATCATTGGAAGCTGGAGCTTCCAAGGCGGCCGGCATGTTGACGCGACTTCTAACGCCGCCTAGCGACGCACCGGAACACCAAACTTTTCGCTACGAATCAGAGCTCGTCATTGTTGGCAACCAATCACAGCACGTCGTGCAATTAGTTATAAGATCTGTCTGTTTAAATTTTGATTATTACCTGATACACACTGTTAGCAATAAGACGACTTAAATATAACCAACAAACGTTCAATAAATCAATTCATTGAAGAGCACCTGCCTCCCGTTCCTGTACATATATAGGTTGTAACTTTACTTTCTACTTTTACACTTATAATTAAGTAACTTACTATTTTAATGATTGTAATAATTATTTATATACCTGCAAGATATCCCATATTGGAAGAGATAGTTTGACTGAATATTTGACTGACATATTTGACTTTCATCTTTGGAATTTTGGTAGCAATTAGATGATTTTCAGTTAATGTAGGCATAAGCATTATGCCTTTCTATCCAGGATTTTCCTTGTAAAGTAGTTTTAAGTGATGCCATTTAGCTGTGCCAGGTTTTCCATCCATTTTGTAATTAAGATTTTTAGTAAGAAGATTGTTCCTTATACCTTTTAATAAATGAGGTGGATCAAATAATGGAACAATTTCTTGAGAATTTATAATAAAAATATTATCTCGAGGCATTTCTGTTTCTTCTTGGCGTAAATATGATATTCTTGTCTCCTCTTTGAGAATTTTGATTGCTTGCCTATTATTCGTGCCTTGGTCACAGATAGTAGCTAAAACTTTAAAGCCAGCTTGCTGCAGTTCAGTAATAATTTCTTTTATTAGCTTAGCTAATTCACAACCTTTTGTCATACCTGATGAGAAGGTATAGGCTATTGGTTGCTTAAAATTTTTAATAAGTCCCCGGATTAAGAAGACCTGAGCATGATCAGCAAGAATTTTCGTAGCATCCTGTCCATCTGTTACAAAACCACTCACTGTGTCTTTTCTTCTATTGTATGCAATACCTGCCTGTAACTGCATTTCATCAAACACTAGAGCACACAATTTGTGTTCATCTTTCATTTTTTCAGCTCTCGTCCTTAATTGTGAAAAAATATTTCTGTTTATCCCAGGTCTTAATGAACACCTGTTTAACATTTTCAAGAGAATTTGACGTGACGGCAGAATAAACATTTTTCTTAAAAACCGATAATCTTTGGGACTCTGCTTCATCATTGTCAGTGCGAGGATTTTTTCCTCAGTAGAAAATCTACGACCTTTACTCTTTTTTTTATACTCTCTAAATTGCACTAAAGTTAATAATTTTGCCGAGGTAGTCCAATTATCCATTATTTTAAGAAATTCTGGATTGGCGAACAATTTTCTTGCAGATTTCAATTCAATATTTTGTTTCTTAACCTTATTCTGGCATTTGCCAAGTTTCATTTTTAAAGCTCTGATCTTTCTGTGTAGTTCCTTCTCAGACTTTGTAGCAGTTACACGCTTGGTCAGTTTCCTTACAGCAATAACTTTATTTGCACCTATAAAAAAAGGTGAAGCTTAATTATTTTCAATTATTATTTCCTAAATTTACAAAATATTACCATACTTTGTATTATCATATTAATTAATAATATTACATACCAACAATTGAAATAACATTTTCCTTATTTTGGTGAATACTTTGCTGTGAAGCCACCTCAGATGCAAAATATACAGGATCTGTAACAATGGAATTTTTATTGCTATAAAATGATGTACCAATGGAATGTTTGTATATATGAACTTTTTGTGACACTATAAGTATATTTTTCTTTATCAAATGAAATGAAAGTAGTCTGTTTATTAAATGTGATAACATACTATTGAAATAATAAAAGTTAGTAGTAACTCAATTTTTATATGAACAGTTCATGTGCTAGAATGTATAACAAGTAAAAAGAATAATTTTATCCTCATAATATAGACCTATTAGTATTGTATAGATAAAGTATAATTTAAACCTTTATTATAAGTTTAATTATGTGACCTTTTTGAGTAGACTAAGTAAGATAAAGACTAAGGCAAACAAAATCTAGATAATAACTTAAATGCATCTAAATAGCAACATTGAAAACGTCATCTCTTATTTTTCCACTCTTAGGGGGAACATTTTTTCTTCTTATTTAAAAGAGATGACCCTTAAGGCCTATTTATAAAAAAGAATCATCAAAATCGGTTTACAATTGGCTATCACATAACAATATTGCAAAAAAAGCAGTAGAATTTTTGAAATTGCCTATAATATGAAAGGTTTTCATTCTCTAAACCTAAGTAAAATACAAGTTCAATTAAGAGATAAGAAGAAATGAACATCAATAAAAAAAATCATATCATGTTATTTAACAATGTCTAATGTGTTTAAGTTTTTTGTTCTTAAATTTTAAAACATAGGTGTAAAAGAAGAATTGGGTGAAAATAGTATTTATTTACCTTTAGAGCTTGATGGGGTTCCAAGCAACAAATTCTCTCTAGCTCACAATGGTCGATGTTCAACAACATTTACTTTTGGAATGACAAGTTTTCCTGGATACAAACAAATATGAAAGTAAATTATCATTATCGTTATTTCAATACCAAATTAAGATTATATTATAAACATTATTAACTGTTTCATCATTCAATTAAAGCATTGCATTACCAAGCTAGATATCAAGAATTTATATTTTATCATAATATAATTTAATTATTATTACATATTTAATTATTTAATACAATGAAGTATCTCACCAGGTAAATTAATTGTTGGCACAGCTATGTTACTAATCCTATTGTAACGGCAGTAATATTTTTGCTCAAAATGAGCATGACATACACGCAGAAGTTTGTAGATATATTGATTATCTAAACCAAGATTGTCATCACCTACAGCATAAATCCAAGATCTAAATAATTCTCGGGATTTGGAAATCCATGCAGCACTGAATGGGAATCTGCAAAAAAAATGTGATGTACATTGTCAAATAAAGGTTTCATGAGATAATAATGCATGGACATAATGAGCTTTCTGAGTTTTTAATTGTGTATTTTAAAAGGTTAAATTGTAACTGTTATAAGAAAAAGTCTACTTGTGAGTTTATCACTAATTCTACTCTGTATCCAGCAGTAGACTTATATAAGCGCTAGTGTAGCGATTTAAACTTTAAAAAATGCTTTTTTTTTGCTTTGATTATGGACTTGTGTAGTTGTTTTTTTGCAAGTATCATGTAATAAGAAATTATTATCTTTTAAAGTAATTTGTTTAAAAGCTTCTTTACATGTTGATGCATCATATTGCTAAGTTATTGGGATCTTTTTAAGGCAGCTTGATACAGCACAGTCAGAGACGATAATATCTGAAGGCGCCTTGGCAGACATAATAACTTGAGACACACTATCTCTAATAGCTCACTTGCGCAGACATTTAACTCCACAAAACTACACCACATTTATGTATCAAAATCTGCTTCAAACTAATAATTAAAGATTACAAGAGCAGCAATCTGCCAGCAGTCAAATTCCAACCAAAACTACTTAGACAGCTTTTGAGCTTGGTAATGAATTTTTAATTATTTTTGAATACAAAAAATGTCTTTGACTGCAACTCAATAAAGATAATTTAATGTATGTATTTCTCTTTCAATATTCTCGTATTTATTTTTTAAATATAATTTATTAAATGCTAACATCGATAAAGTTAGTATTATGCAATATACAGATACATAAATAGTGCGTATAATTTTCAAATTTCGAATAGTTTTTCTGTTTGTATAGATGATTTTTTACAAAGAAAATTTTGTCAATTAGTACCTACGAACTGATTTGCCACAAAAATGTGAACGTTTCGAAAAGGAATTTACAAATGTTATGCAAAATAACAGACCAAAAACATGTAGTTTTGGTTCTGTTTAATATTATATTTGCTTTATAAAAGCGTTACATGATTAAGAAACAAAATTTTATTATGTTACAGAATTACATTTATATAAGTACTTACTTCCACTTTCAACACATCCAGGTACACAACAGCGGTTTCGCGACATATTAGCAACTTTCAATAGTTTTTATAAAAACTTAAAACACTTAACTAATGGAGTCCAATCTCAAATTGTTTATATATTTATATAGTGAAGAAAGATGTAAATCTTATTTGGAGGAACTTGATGTAGCTCAACTTAACGAAATAGCGGATAAAGCATCTAATCACACAATATAACGAGAATACAACACACCACTACGCGATACATTTAGGGTTGCCGTTCTACAAATTTTAAAGTCCCTAGACTAATAGAAAAAATCCGCCAGAAACAGGATTTTTCTTTTTCTTAAAATCCGCTAGAAGTCCCTAGGTAGATTTTCGTGGTACCGTTGGTCAAACTGAAAAATCTTGCCAAATGGTATACAAAGAATACCGAAAATCTAAATCTATAAATTCAGAAAACCTTAAAAAGAGCGGATTTTATTTCATATAAATTAATTATATATAGTGTAGGTTAATGACATGACAACCAAAACAAAAATTATTCATGTACAAAATAAAAAATATTGTAAAAAAAAACAAATCTCTTTTAACCACGTTTAAACATTAGTAATCTTATTAAAAATAAAACAATTAGCTCAGTACGTTCTTGTACCTAAATTTCAAAATTAATAGCAAAGTATGGATCCAGATCTTCAAAAAGAATTTCAGCGGAAGTTGAAGCTTTGCCAATGTCTCCAGTTCCCATCTTTGGTTTACCTTTACCGACTTGGTTGACAAGATCTTCGGGAATATCACACGTTGCGCAATTTTTTTTTCCTTAACTGATTTCTAATTAGACGGGTGGAATTTAAACGTTTTTCTGATTGCTTGCTTCACAGTTTGCTTTTAACTACATTCGTAGCACCAAACACGCGTTCGAATTCTGCATTTGAGTGCGGTAGTGATAATATTACTATGGCAAAATTACATAAATCTTCGAATATGTTTAATCCTGCTGCATTTTTGTATGTCGAAACCTTAGAACATGGTCTCAGGTCGAAACAGAGAAAGGGAATTAACGACATTGCATTGTTAGTTTCATCATCATCATTACAGCCCTTCACAAGTCCACTGCTGAACATAGGCCTCCCCCAAGTAATGCCACAAAGCACGGTCCTGAGCCACCTGCATCCATCGACTTCCTGCATATATTACCAGTTCGTCACTCCATCTAGTGGGGGGTTGCCCTACACTACGCCTACCGGTACGAGGCTGCCACTCGAGAACCTTTCCCCCCCTTCGGTTATCGGTTCTTCGAGCTATATGGCCGGCCCATTGCCACTTCAGCTTACTAATCCGTTGGGCTATGTCGGTCATTCTGGTTTTACTGCGGATATCCTCATTTCTGAGTCTATCACGCAGAGAAACTCCGAGCATAGCCCTCTCCATAGCTCGCTGAGCGACCATGAGCGTCCTCATACGGCCAGCAGTGTAACCCGTCTCAGATCCGTAAATCATCACTGGCAACACGCACTGGTTGTACAATCTAGTTTTTAGAGATTAAGGTATACCTGACGAGAAGATATGTCGTAATTTCCCGAACGCTGCCCAGCCGAGTTGAATCCGTCGATTGACCTCTCGGTCGAAGTTGGACTTACCTAGTCGGACTATTTGTCCCAGGTAAACGTACTCGTCAACAACTTCGAGCATAGTGCTCCCAACAACTACCGGCATAGGTGTGACATGGACATTAAACATGATCTTTATTTTGCCCATGTTCATCTTAAGACCTATCCGTTGGGAGTCACTATTGAGGTCATTGAGCATAATGCTTAAGTCCTCCAGCGATTCTGCCATAAGGACTATATCGTCGGCAAATCGAAGGTGACTAATCTACTCGCCATTGATGTTAATACCGTATCCTTTCCAGTCCAGTAGCTTGAAAACGTCTTCCGATGCAGCGGTGAAGAGTTTCAGGGATATAACGTCACCCTGTCTTACACCTCTCTGCAGTTGGATAGGTTTCGAGCTCTGATTCTGTACTCGGATAGCCATCGTAGCCCTACTGTACAAACACTTCAGCACTTCGATATACCGACAGTCAACTTGGCACCGCTGAAGAGACTGTAGCACCGCCCAAATTTCGACGGAATCAAAGGCTTTCTCATAGTCCACATATGCCAGGAAAAGTGGCAGATTGTACTCTTCAGTCTTCTGTAAAATCTGCCGCAGGGTATGTATGTGGTCTATGGTACCTAAGCCTTTTCAGAAACCGGCTTGTTCGGGAGGCTGGAAGTCGTCGAGTCTGCGTGCGAAACGATTCGTAATGACTCTCGAAAACAGCACGTAGACGCGGCTCAGAAGGGAAATCGGTCTGTAGTTCTTCAAGAGAGCGTTGTCGCCTTTCTTAAAGAACAAGACCACCGCGCTTCTGCTCCACGCCTCCGGAGTAATGCCACCATGGAGGACGGAATTGAAGAGCTTCTGAAGGACTTCAAGTACCGGTGTTCCACCCGCTTTCAGAAGCTCCGCTGTAATTCCATCCTCGCCCGGGGCCTTGCCGTTTTTAAGGTGGTGGAGAGCCATTCTAATCTCGCTCAGACTGACGTCCGGGATATCATCGGAATAGTGTCGGATAAGACTTGCTCTTGGATCGTTACTCACACTTGCGTGTGGCTCCAACGATTATGTGTACAGCTGCCCATAGAACCTCACAATCTCACTCAGAATCTCAGGTGTCCCGGAAACGATGTTGCCACACTCAGTCTTCAGCCTTGACAGTTGGCTCCTTCTGGCAGACAGATCTCTGGCAAAGACTTTGGAGCCCTGGTTCCGCTCTATCGCTTTTTTAATACGAGCAGTATTAAAGTTGCGTAAGTCTCGCCGCATGCATTTGGAGATCTGTCTGTTCAGTTGCTTCTATGCTGTCAAATCTGTTGACGATTGCAGCCTCATCTCCCGTCTAACAGCCATGAGATTAAGAGTGTGATTGGAGAGTTTATGTGTTCTTCTGCGGCGGGTCTTGCAGAACTTAGCTCCGACCGCATGGACAGTTTCCACGAGCTTGTCATTCATATCGTCCACTGCATTGCAATCTTGTAGGCACTGAAAGCGGTTACGTAACTCGAGCTGAAAGTTTTCGGGATTCTGGATTAGAGCACGAGGGGGACGGAGCGTTGACTTCATTAGACGAGACCTCTCCAACTTAACGTTTAGGTTCAGTGTGCCTCTAACCATTCGGTGATCGCTGCCAGTTTTCACCCTTGCGATCACTGAGACATCACTGAACAGTTGGCGTCATAATGAAGTCAATCTCATTTGTTAGTTTATGTTCTGGAATTCCCGTGAAATTATATTATATATAGAGTGCTACCAACGGTAGATTACAAAATTGGACATATGATAAATTACTTATTTGAAATGAATTACTTCATAAAAAAGTCGCCATCTCAAAAGTCCAAATGTCGCTAGAAGTCGCTAAATAATTATTTCTCGCTAAAACGATTTTTTTATCCGCTAAACATTGTTAAAATCCGCTAAATCTAGCGAGAAAGTCGCTAAAACGGCAACACTGGATACATTGTACAACAAGACACGCCATTTGCAATTTTGCAAATTTGTTTTTAGTTGTCAAATCTCACGAAGGCGATTGGTCAATATTTTTACATTAAATAGTGCTAAGTTTAAAAGGACCATGTTATGTAGTAAAGTTCAAAGAATTGTATGAATTCTCAACTTATTCGTATTATTACGCTACTAGTGACATCTGATAGTTTGAAATGACATCATATTATCATAACCAATTATTATAATGCTTATGTATGGAGATTGCACCGCCTGCAATAAATTCTCTAGTATATACACAGTAATCTATGCAATAAATATTAAATATCATTCAGAAAATTGTAGATTGCAGAATATCTTTCTACAAATAATTTAAAATTCATACGTAAAATTATTCTAAAAGTTAAGCAATTTATTCTATAGTTTATAATTAATATAGGTATAAGTTTTGTTTCGTGTAAATTTAGAAAAGAAAAAGAAAGGGGTAGGTAGTTATGATATTAGCTGAAACTTTGTTGTTCTCTCTGTCATTATTCGCTAGCGGTGCTATACTGTTATTATTAGTTTATTTTATTATTACATTCTAAGACTTAGAATGTGATTATTTGAACGCCCAAGAGTGCTGTGAGAAGCTTAACTATTGGCTGTTACCAAAATAAATAGCTCATACTTTTATCACCTTCTTATTCTTATTACACGGGCAACTTATCCTTTTCTTATTAAATTTGCCGATGTTTATATGGCTTTCGTTCGAATATTTTACAATACCGCAGGGTAACTTTGGTGTTTATGATCCTGTAGAAATTTACAACCGCGGACAGATTAAGAAGCATTTAAGAGATGTTATGATCCATATAGGGTACTACCTATTATTTTTCTTTATTTACCTTTATTGTTTTATATTAGATCTATTAAAAGTAGATCCAATTCAGAGAGGAAGTGAAGACCAAATTGTAACTGAAATCTAAATTTAAAATGGATTTGGTGTTGACTGAAACATCTCTCAATGTAATGTATTTTGGAGAAGAAGAGGATTTTAATAACAATGAAGACGAGGAAGATTCTGCAATAGGAGACACGGAAAAATGTGAAAAATTAAATTATAATGAGAATATAGTAGCTTTTGTTGAAAAAAGAGAATTGACGAGGAATATAAAACCTTTAGTATGCAGTAATATTTTATTGGAAAAAATTACATCTAATTATATTATTGTAAAGCAGATTATTAGTAACCTATCTTGGCAAGATAAAGCTATGTGCAAACTTGTATGTAACAATTGGTACTCTGCTGTACAAACATTACAAAAAGAGCAAATATCACCTGAAGACTTTGTTATAGACTTGTGTTATTCCCTTAGACGTGGGGGTGAGAAAGGATGGTTTAAAAAGTCTGGAATTTTTTACACAGAACCTTTGGTAATTTTTACATTTGCAAATACAGCTGGTTTCAGTGCTGTGCGTAAATGTAAGGTTATTCAACCAAGGCCTTGTAAACAACATTGTGATCAAGAACACTGT